CCTCCTGCTCCTCCTCCTCCCCCTCCTCCTCCTCCTCATCCTCTTCCTTCTCCACCGTAGCCATTTTGGCTCAAGCCCCTTTTCCTCTCGGGAGGCTGGGGGTGCATACTTGAAAGGGGCATTGCACCTCCGAGCCAGGCGCCGCGGCCGTATGTCATGGCGGAGCGCCGCGCCTTGGAGGCAGCGCGCGGCGCCGCCGCCCAGGCGGCCGACGACCCCTCCGCGCCGCCCCGCGGCTGTGGCGACGGAGATGGTCCGTGCTGCAGTGGAGGCCGCGGTCAGCGCCACGGTCACGGCGCTCTTGCAGCAGTCGCCAGTGCAGGCAAGGCCGCAAGAGCGACCTCGGCCCTCGGTGGCGCCGGTGCTGGCTGGCGACGCCCCGAGGCCATTGATGCCGCCGCCGGGGGACTTGCGGGCGCGGAGCCCTGGTCGAGGTGGCGACCCTCCGCTAGCCCTGGAGGACCAGCTGGGCAAGAAGCACAAGGTGGACAAGGAGCAGGAGGAGCGAGATCGCGCGATGCGGCACGCGGACCAGCCGCAGTCACGCCCCAGGTCTCGGTCAACGTCGAGGACGAGGCCTGCTTCAACGCCGCCGACCACGTGGCAGAGTGCGGGGCCGACCTTTTTCAGGTCGTTCCAGGCGGAGAAGAAGGGGAATGAGAAGAAGGAGAAGAAGATGAAGCACGGAGAGGAGGGCAAGAAGAGCGAGCGCAAGCGGAGGAGCCGCTCTCGCTCCAGTTCTCCGAGGGCCGTGGACTGAAGAACGAGGTTATCAGGGTCAACGGCAAGGGCGACGTGCTTCCCCCAGTGCCGAGCTTTCCGAAGTTGGCGGAGGACGACGACGACGACTTCAAGAACGGCATCAAGAAGATCAACGGCAAGGGTGTGGACGTGGGGCTCCCAACCCCTGCTGTACCTGGAGGTTGTGGTGTCTTCGCGATCCACGGCGACGACGACGACCAGGACTTCCACAAGGGCGGCGAGTGCGAGAACTTGGATGGCTGGCATCGCTGGCACCTTGAGGAGGATCCAGAAGAGGAGGACGCCTTCAGCATCGTGCGCAAGATGAATCAGGAGGTGTTCGACAAGACGGAGAGGGTCAGTGCAGAGCGGCGCGCGCTCGTGCGGCTCAGCTCCGACGAGGTGATCGGGGTCATCAACGGCAAGGGCGCCGTGCTGCTCCCGTCGCCGAGCGAGGACGAGGTGATCGGGGTCAACGGCAAGGGCGCCAGGCTGCTCCCAGTGCCGAGCTTTCCGAAGTTGGCGGAGAACGACGACTTCAAGAACGGCATCGGCAAGGAGAAGAAGGTTGAGAAGGAGAAGGGCTTGGGTTTGCCGCCCGAGGTCGGCAGCGGCAGCGTGACGGAGGGCACGAAGCAGGACTCGGCCGTGGGCTTCAAGAACGGCAGCGAGAAAAATGACGTCAGGGTGCAGAGGGCTCTGGCGATCCTGAAGGACCTCCTCGACATGCTCGCCATGCATGGCGAGGACGAGGAGTTCGAGAAGGTGATATCCAAGGAGGCCTTCAAGTGGGTGCAGGTGTGCGAGCATCTCGGCGTGGACCTCACCGAGGAGGGCTTCAAGAAGATCGGGGACTCCAGTTCTTGAATGCGTACGCGGTGCACATGTAGTACTCGGGGTCCTCTGGCGGTGGGGGCCCGCTATTCCCCTAGCATGGACGACTTCGGCGGGAGGTCGGACTACTTCAGACGGTGGGGGTCCGTGGTTCCCCCAGCGTGCTCGGCTTGGGGAGCCGAGCACGCGGCCCGCTTCGGGGAGATCCGTCTCTCTTGAGTGCTGGCCGCGCAGGCGCTCGTGTGGCGCGCCTGGCCCTCCCCGTCCCCCTGCCAACGTGCTCTGGAGAGGCGTTTCCGGAGCACGTTGGACGTTTCTCCTCCCCTCCCCCGCGCACGCTCTGTGCTTGGCCAAAAGGTCCACAAGGTCCTCTTCCTTCTCCTCCTCCTCCTCCTCCTCCTCCTCCTCCTCCTCCTCCTCCTCGGCTCTGGTCCACGCTCCCCAATTCCCGACTGGGCCCCGCTAAAAGGTGGACGAGGCGGGGCGGAAGCCTTTTTCTTCACATCCACTGCACAGCCGTTTCCAGACACTGTAATCCGTTTCCGAGCCAAGCGTGCCCCCCAGACGGTCCAAGAGGGCCCCGAGTCGCCGAACGATCGCTCCCAGACGCTCAAGATGGCCCCCAGACGGCCTAAGAGGCTTCCAAGAGGCCCCAAGAGGCCTCCAAGAGGTCTCCCAAGATGGCCCCAAGAGGCCAAAATCATTTATCATCCATAGGTTTTTGAATTTTTTTGGGCGTTCGCGCCTTTTCAGCTTCCCGATGCTCCCAGATGGCCCTAGAGGCCCCCAAGGTCGCCCCAAGACGGCCCAAGAGGCCTCCAAGAGGGCACCAAAAGGACCCAAGAGGACCCCAAGACGGCCCAAAAGGCGCCCAAGACTCCCCTCCCACTTCCCTGCTTAAGTTGCCACCAGTACTGAGAAGTGTAGCTTGTCAACATCAGTTTGCATGTGTTCCAGGCAGAGGCGCGCCCATGGCAATCCTCTCTGCGCGGGTTCTGCAGAGAGAGAGAGAGAGAGAGCAGATGCGGTTCAGAAGCTGAGCGTTGCATGGCCTTTCGTAGACATGATGAACGCCTGTTACTCTTGCATCAGGGAGATAGTCTAAGAGACCGAGACTTCGGCCACTTCGTGGCTTAGGTTGTTGCAGGAAGCGGGCTTACCTAAATCCGACCTCCCACTCCTCTAGTAGAGGCAAAGGGCGGTGGGTTGGCTGCAGAGGGGGAAGCGAGGGCGGGCTGGTGCCGTGCCGAAGCAGAAGGGGATCCGGGCGGAGGGGGCGCGCTGGCGGCATTGGCCGGAGCTCGAGACACACACACACACACACACACACACACACACACACACACACACACACTGTGCGCAAAAATAAACCCACCCTGTCGCCCTTCCGGACGAGTCGGCAGGATGGGCCCAAGCGTTTTGTCGCCTGTGGCATCCTCACCACCCCTGTTTGGACGCCCGAAATGGGTACGGAAAGAATGGGCACTATGCCCAACAGCAAATGTTGTCCCGAACCAACAGCGGCCGCTGTTGGGCAGGCGGCCCTCTGTCTCGGATGGACACAGGCCGCGGCGGCGTGGACAGCATATCCTGTTCAAAGTGAACAGGAACTGCTGTTGGGCATTGTACCCATTCTTTCCGTGCCCATTTCGGGCGTCCAGACTCTGGGCCTGGAACTCGAGATGTGCAGAAGCTTCCCGGGTGGAGGGTGGCCGCCGTGCTCGGCAGGAGCCCCTCGCCGCGGCTGCCAATGATAAGGAAAGGAAGGAGGGGCGGAGGAAAACGGAAAGGAAAAGGAGGAGAAAGGGAGGAGAAAAGGAGGAGAAACAGAGGAACATAAGGAGGAGGGGGAGGAGGAGGAGGAGGAGGAGGAGGAGGAGGAGGACGAGGAGGAAGAGGAGGAGGAGGAGGAGGAGGAGGAGGTGGCCCCCGCCGCGCACCCCTTCGCACGCAGAGTCTGCAAAAGAACACCTCGAGGGTGGAGGGCTGCCCCCGCTCTCGAAAGATTTCGGCTGTTTACCCCGGAGGGTGCACCACATCTGGCGGTGTGCCAAGCCAGAGCAGTGCTTGACCTCCGTCCTCGGAAGCGGTTGCCGACGTTGAGTACTCCAGATTTCGTAATCAAAGGGAGGGGGGGTCTCATTTCGGGGGGGGGTCTCTTCCAGGCTATCTTGGAGGGCCTGGGGGGTCTGGGGACGATGTTTTGGAGGGTTCTCCCACGGGGAATCCTGAGCAAGCTCAAGGATGTACCTCCCCAGAAAAACACAAATGCGACAAGCAGGTCTCTGGTGGGAGACTCGTCAGTTGTCACACCGATAAGAACGGATACTATACCTGATCATCGCCAAAAGGCCCCCGCGCCGCGCACCCTCGTACTCTCAAAGTCGGCAGCCACTTCCAGGATGGAGGGCGGGCTGTTTCGAGAGCGTGGCTCTCGCCGTACCGTCGGGGCGCTGACCTAAGGAACCCCCCAAATAAGGAACGAGGCCCTTTTTCCCAGAAATTCAACTTCGATTTCCCGTCGAAAACCTACGGAAAACCTGAGGCAAGCTGTGAAGCAATCAAGGAACACGGAGCCCCTCCCCAACGAAAAGGGTTCCTTCTTCAGCGCCCCGACTGTACCCCAGATTTCGTAAGAAAGGGAGGGGGGTCTCATTTCGGGGGGTCTCTTCCAGGCCATCTTGGAGGGCCTGGGGGGGTCTGGGGACGATGTTTGGAGGGCTCTCCCACAGGGGGGGGTCTGAAATGGCTTGTCTTTGGGGGTCCAGACCCCCTCCCTTTCATTACGAAATCCCCGCCTGTACCCCAGATTTCGTAATAAAAGGGAGGGGGTCTGGACCCTCCAAGACAAGCCATTTCAGACCTCCCCCGTGGGAGAACCCTCCAAAACATCGTCCCCAGACCCCCCCAGGCCCTCCAAGATAGCTGGAAGAGACCCCCCCCGAAATGAGACCCCCCCTCCCTTTGATTACACGAAATCTGGAGTACTCAACGTCGGCAACCGCTTCCGAGGACGGAGGGGGCGGGCCGCTCCGAGAGCGCGGCCCTCGCCGCGGCTCTCCGCGCACGCTCGCACTCGCACAAAGGTTGCAGCGGCTTCGCGGGCGGAGGGCGGGGGACGCTTTCTCGAAGCGTGCGCGCTCGCCCCCGAAGTGCTGCAACAGCTTCAAGGGCGAACGAAGGGCAGCTGCGGCTTCGCGGGCGGAGGGCGGAGGGCGCTTTCAGAACGTGCGCGCTCGCCCTCGAACTGCTGCAACGGTTTCGAGGGACGAAGGGCAGCTCCGTTTCAAAGTGTGGCTCTCGCCATACAGTCGGGGCCCTGACCTGAGGAATCCAAATCAGGAACGAGGCCCCTCTTTTCCATAAGTAAACAATCGATTTCCGATCGAAACGTAAGGACAACCTGAGGCAAGCTGCGAAAAACTTAAGGAACGCGGAGCCCCTCCCCAACGAAAAGGGTTCCTTCTTCAGGGCCCCGACTGTAGCGCCGCGCACTTTCGTCCTGAAGCACTGCAACAGTGTCAAAGATTCGCAGGGTCGAAGCCCTGGGAACGGTCATCTGGCAAGACGGAGGACCTTCAAGACGCAGCAGTCACGCTGATTCGAGGAGGTGAAGTCCCAGGATTGGAATTATGACACGAGTTAGGGCTGTCAGGACGCAACAATCATGCTGATTCGCGACGCTGAAATCCCAGGAGGTGTGCTTTGGCACTCTCAGACGGTCGTCATCGAACGGGGCATATTTCGTAATGAACAAATTCTTGTAGAGCCTGATGAGGAAGAAATGTGGGGGGAGGGCTTATTGCAACATCATCGATGTGTCTTGGGTCTACACTGGTGTTTCTCCTCCTCCTCCTCCTCCTCCTCCTCCTCCGGGTCATAACTATTCCTGGTCCATTTCGCCACGACTGCTGCCCCAGAGGCTCCCTCCTTCTCCTCATCCTTGTCCTCCTTCTCCCCCTGTGGGCGGGGATTACACGTCGGTCGGAAGAAGCAGGTAGAAACATGAAGTAGGAAGGCGGATGTAGTAGATTGGGTCCAGGCCCTCCCAGAGAACAACAAAACGCAGCAAAAGCATGCCGATTCTTGAAGTAGGAAGGCGCTTGAAGTAGATCGGGATCTGGGAATCCAAAAACACCTACTTTCAACGACCGGCGCGTACATAGAAGGGTGATTCGAAGAGGGGCGCAACTACAAGCCTGGGCGCGTTAGGGGCGCCCGTGCCTCTGTCGGCAACGAGCGGGCGATTTGGAGTCGGCATTTGCCTCCCTGAGCCTGTCCGATCCCGTTCGTCGCCCTCTCATTTCCCGCCTCCTCCCTCGCACACTGAAGGGGCCCTGGGACACACAAACACATAGACACAAACGACAGGATTCCCCATCTTTTCCCACATGTCCTGGGTTTTTGTCTTCCCCCCCACTTCCCATGTTTTCCGATATTTTCCTGGGGATCGACGATTAATTGTCTGTGTGCTTTTTCCCTCCTGAAACACTTCTGATCCTACCTCCTCTCTGTTCCCCACTCCCCGTCCCTCCTCAAACCTGCTCCATGCTCACAGCCTCACCGCCTCTTCCTCCCCCCTCCCTCCCTCCCTCCCATTCTCCTCCCCCCTCTCCCGTCCCCCTCCTCCTCAAGCCCTCCCCATCGTCGTTGTCGCCGCCGCCGTCGTCGTCGCCTTTCTTGCCTCTCTTCCTTCATCTCCTCCCTCATACTCCTTGAACTCCTCCTCGTCTTTGTGCTCCTCCTCCTCCTCGTCCTCCTCATCCTCCTTCTGTCGTCCTCCTACTTCTCCTTCTCGTCCTCCTCACCCTCATGCTTGTCCTCGTCGCCCTCCTCCCCCCTCCTCGTCCTCATTCTCATCCCGTATCATCCTCTTTCCCCCAACCTCTCCCTTCCCGTCACCACTCACAGCACTCCCTCTCCCTTTGCTCCCTCCTCCGCCTCCGACCTCTCCCCGACCAGCATTCTTTCAGAATCGGCCCCCAAACGTCGAGTCCATCCTGGCCAACTTCCCGTCC